ATGTATATGTGTATGTGTGTGTTGTATGTATGTATGTATATATGTATGTATGTGTGTGTGTGTGTATATATATATGTATATATATATATATATATATATATATATATATATATATATATATATATATATATATATATATATATATATGTATAAGTGTGTATGTATGTGTATATGTGTGTGTATGTATATATATATGTTTATGTGTATTGTATATATTTATATATGTATATATGTATATATATATATATATATATATATATATATATATATATATATATATATATATATATATATATATATATATATGTATATGTATATATATATATATATATATATATATATATATATATATATATGTATATATATATATATATATATATATATATATATATATATATATGTATATATATATATATATATATATATATATATATATATATATATATGTATATATATATATATGTATATATATATATATATATATATATATATATATATATATGTGTGTATGTGTATATGTATGTGTGTATATGCATATATATACATATATCCTTCTTATATATATTCTTCTTGTTTCTTTTTGTTTGTCTGTTTTAATTTTGTTTTATAAAAAAATATGATTAGATGAACTTAAATCTATAAAATGTTCGGAATCTTTTTCAATTCAAAATATCTTTTGTATATTTAAATATATTTTATAAAGTTTATTGGATATGTATACGCATATGTACGGATTTGTAAATTATTTTTTCAAACTTTTTTATTTTTTATTATTTTCAAACTTTTTAGTTTTGTCAAACTTAAAAATTATTTTTTAAAATTTTTGATTTTTTCAAACTTTTTAATTTGTTTTTTTAAACTTTTTTTAATTTCACTCTTTTATATATAATTGTAAATTGTAAATTTTTTTTTATTTTCACAAAGGGGCTTGATGATAAGACATTTTGTCTTCTACTTGCCCCAGTCAGCTTGCATTTGTATAAATTTATTTAAATGTAAGGTTAACATTGTAAAATGTTTTTAGTGTATATATAATATGTTTAGTGAATAGTATTATTATATATATAGTGTATGGTTATTGTACATTCAATGTCTTATGAGACACTGAATAAATAATATCTTATATACATATAAAATATAAAATATTTAAAATATACATATAAAAGCACTTTCCTATTCAATATTGTTTAAAAATCTTATAGGAATTTTTTTGCCTATAAGACACCAAAACGAACAATATCTTATAGTTTTATATGTACAGAAATCCTTCTCAAATAAGTAGGATTTTTATTCATATAAAGCTATAGGGTATTGTTCATTTGGTGTCTTATAGGATAAAACTTCTATAGGGTTTTGGGACAGGATTGAATAGGATTCTTGTACACCTATACCTATAGGACTTTTAAATCGGTGTCTTATCGGCTGCCTGTTCTAAGCAATCAAAAATAGAAGACACTTTGTCAAGATAGGAGTATAAAGTTGAGTCATCAGCAGAAAAACCTACTTTAAAAATAAAGTTGACGTGAAGATCATTGATGTAGAAAAGAAACAAAGCAGGGCGAAGGCTAGAACCTTGAGGTACCCAGAAGTTACTAGGAAATAAAGAAGAGTGTTGGCCTACGAGTATGACGTAAAAAGAAACGATTTGATAATCTCAAAAACTTTCCCAGATACACCATATTAAACAAGCTTTTTTTTTTTTTTTTTTTTTTTTTTTTTCAGTTTACAATTATTAATCGTAATATAACAATATAACAATATATAAAATAAATATATCTGAGAGAAGATCCAAATGATCTTGTCGCCAGAACCATATAAAATATATCATACGTGTATATGTAATAAAATAAAAATACAATTGATCAAATAACTATTAACAATGTAGAAGAAACAAAAACTGAAAATAATTTTACAAATTATCAAGAGTGAAAAAAAGAATTTTACATGTCAAAAATATTTATATATATTGCCAGTAGAAAGAATATAGTTTTTTAATTTAGTTTTAAAAACGGAAAACGAAATTGACAAATCAAAATTTGGAACAACAATTTTGTTCCATAAATACGGTGCTCTATATGCAAAATTGATTAAACTTTGTTTGACAAAAGGGTTCAATTAATAAATTATTATTTCGTAAAGCATATTTATTTATAGCTTTATAAGTAAAAAGATCTTTGAAATTGGACAATGGTCGTTCACTTTTACAACGAAACATAAAACATAAAATATTATAGACATTGAGTTCGTAAACGTTAAGTGCTTTAACGTTTTTAAATAAAATATTTGAATGAGAAAAACGATTTTCGAAACATATTAAACGCATTGCGTGTTTCTGACGATGGTAAAGATACCGTAAATTACTTTTAGAGGTTCTTCCCCAAACAAAATTTGCATAATTTATATAGCTATGAATAAATGAGTAGTAGAGTTGAATTAAATTTTGTTTACTTAGATAGTATCTGACCTTATATAGAATTCCAATACTTTTAGCCAATTTAGTAGAAATATAGTCGATATGATACTTCCATGTAATATTTTCAAGTAAATGCCTAAAAATCTTGTGACCGACTCCTTTTTTATTTCAATTTTATCAATAAAAAGTTTAGGCAATTTATTAAGTTAAAAACGCTTTTTTGCAAGAGAATGGAAAAGGATCCATTTTTTTTTGTCAATGTTTAAAGTTAACTTGTTGCACTTAAACCAGTTGGAGATCTGATTTAGTTCTTTATTCATATTTGAAAAAAGCTCATAAATGTCACTGTTTGACAGAAATAAATTAGTATCGTCCGCAAAAATGATACTCATAAGGTTAGAAGCTTTATTTAAATCATTTATATAAACTAAAAACAAAAGTGGGCCTAGAATAGAATCCTGTGGAACACCACATTTTATGTCAATTAATTTTTCATTTTGAAAATAATCTCCATAGAAAACAAATTGCTTTCTATTTTCCAAGTAACTTTTATACCATTTTATTAATTTGCCATTAATTCCGAAAAATTTGAGTTTTTAAAGCAGAATTTTGTGATCGATCGTGTCGAATGCGTTTGATAGGTCAATGAAAATACCTAATGTATATTGTGATCTACCAAATGAATGGAGATTTAACGAATGAACTTTGTAATGGTTTGTTCAGTTGAACAATTTTTTTTAAAACCGAATTGATTTTTATATAGAAGTTTATTTAGATTAAGGTAGTTGTATGCTCTATTGTATATAATTCTTTCTAAAATTTTTGAGAAAGTTGAAAGAACTGAGATAGGGCGATAATTACTAATATTTGATTTTTTTCCGTTTTTGTATATAGGAGTTACTTTAGTTATTTTTAATTGGTCGGGGAATACACCTTGCTGTATAGATGCCCTAAAGACTTTATAAAAAATACATTTTAAGTTTTCAAAGTAATCTATGACTATGTAGCCATTTATTTCGTCCACACCCGTAGCTTTGTTTCTTTTGAGAGATTTGTAAGCTTTCTCAAATTCATCAAAAGATAAGTCAGAATGTAAATTATCTATAAAAAGCGAATTATTTATAGGCTCTAGGAAATCGCTAAAATTTTTTTCTGTAATAGGGATCTTGTTTGCCAATTTGGTTCCTATATCAATGAAATATTTATTAAACTCGTTTGCAATTTTGTTTGGTTCAAATATATTTGCTTTATTTATTTTAATTACTTTAGGAAGGAAGTTTGAGTTTGTTTTTTGTTTTCCTGTTATTTCTTTCAACATTCTCCGAGTATTTTTTGAGTCGTTTTTAAATTTACTAATTAAATTTGAATAATAATTTTTTTTTAATTTTTTACGAATTTTTTCAAATAAATGTTGGTAATTTTTATATTTTTGTTGGTTTTCATTTGATTTTGTTTTTAGATATTTTATATATAGTTTCTGTTTGATTTTAGATGATTTTCTAAGTCCTTTGGTAATCCATGGACTATTTAAGGTTTTTATTTTTGTTATTTTTTCACAAAGTGGAAAGTTTGCATCGTATATTGAGAAGAACGTATCAAAGAATTTATTATATATTGTATTTGGGTTTTCATTAAAGTTAATATGTTTCCAATGCAGAAGTGATAATTGATATTGGAAGGATTTTATATTGCTCTCATTGAAGACACGTTTTTTTATTATATTTTGTCTTTCGGGGTTATTAGAGGATACAGTATGGATTGTTAGAAAAATGGGGAAATGAACGAATATGTCGGTTTTTATAATTCCTTTTTTTCATTTCCTATTATAAATATCTGTTGTTAAAATATTGTCAATCAACGTAGTTGAAGTTTTGGTTATTCTAGTAGGGCGATTAATTAAAGGAAGAGCTCCTGCCATTAAGTATTTCATCATAAAAACTTTTTATTTTTTTATCTTTATTATAAATTAAACAGTTCATGTTGAAATCTCCAACTATAAAAGTAATTTTGTTTTCTTTGCTATCTTTGTGTATGATATTTTGCTGTAAAAAGAAACTAAGATTTTCAGACGCACCATCAGGTGGTCTATAACAGCAGCTTAATAGAATACTATTTTTTTTTATTGTTTAAAATTTCAATACAGTCGACTCTCGATATCTCGAATACTTGATATCTCGAACTTTTGAGTATCTCAAACTTTTTTAGCGGTCCCATGGACATAACGTACTAGTTTAGGCTAAAATCCTCTCGATATCTCGAACCTTAATATCTCGAACTTTTTGGTATCTCGAACAATATTTTCGGTCCACAGGGCAATTTTCTCTCGTTATCTCGAACTTTTCAACATTTTTTTTTTCAAAAATGTTTTAATAAAATTTAATTTTTTTTAAATTCCAATTTTCGAAAAAAAAAAAAAATTTTAATTCGATTTTTAAATTCGATTTTTTTTAAGAATCGAATTTCTGAAAAGTTTTCCTTTAATATATTAATTTATTCTTTTTGTCAAACGCAACAACATGCCGCTCCTTTTGCAAAAACTCACGAACAAATAGAAAAATGCAAGGCATTAAAAGACCTAGAGACAGGGATGTCTAACAAAGAGGTTGCCAAAAAATATGGAGTCCCAAAGAACACATTATCAACCTGGATTAAAAATAAAACCAAGTTATCAACCTCACTGGAAAAAAACGGCACAAAATCTAAACGGAAGAAACTTCGTAGTGGTAATTTCAAAAATGTAGACAAGGCCATATACACGTGGTTCGTTGCAAAAAGAAGTCAGCAAGTACCAATTGATGGTACCATACTAAAAGAAAAGGCACTAAAATTCGCAGAAGCATTAGGAGAGTTGGATTTTAAAACATCTGATTGTTGGTTTCATAATTGGAAAGAAAGGTCAGTCAATTTTAGGAGCGGCATTAGCTTTAAAATAATCTCAGGCGAAAGTGCCGCTGTGACGAATAATATGAATGCTTCGTGGAATGAAACTACGCTTGCTTTGAATTACAAACATTGCTTTTGAAAAACAAACTTGAAAACATTTTCAATGCCGATGAGTTTGGACTATTTTACCAGTGCCTACCAATCAAAACATACCATTTATCACGAGAAAAATGTTTTAGGGGAAAAAATAGTAAAGTCAGACTAACAGGCATAGCAGCAGGGAGTGCAACGGGAGATCTAAAATGTAAAAACCCACGGTGTTTTAAGCACATTAAACAACTTCCTTGCATAGATAAAAATCAGCTAAAAAGTTGGATGACCGGAGACCTTTTTACAGAATGGGTAATGAAACTTGACTCATTTTTTCGTGCTCAAGACAGGAAAGTAGCACTCCTGGTGGATAACTGTTCTGCCCACCCACACATTGAAGGGCTAAGCAACATCAACCTAATATTTTTCCCCCCTAACACCATATTTGTCCTTCAGCCCATGGATCAAGGTGTAATACGAAGTCTTAAAGCTCATTATCGTCACAAAATTGTGCGTTTGTGTATCAAGGCTGTCGATAATAACAAACCCATGCCAAAAATTTCTATACTTCAAGCAATGAAAGATCTTGTTTCTTCGTGGAATGTTGTGTCGAAGGAGACTGTCATCAACTGCTTTAAAAAAGCTGGTATCAGCAAAACAAACAAGAGTATTGAAGAAGCTGATGATGATCATCCTTTTAAATTTTTGACAGAAGAACTTAACCGTTTGCGAGAGTTAGATCCTCGTGCCGTCCAAGAAGATCTCTCAGCGGAATCTTACATTGGTTTAGATTGCGATGTAGTAACCACCGGTTCATTTGCTACTGATGCTGAAATCTTGCTCAGATTTTAGACCCTAATTTTGAAAACGACGATAATGAAGTTGAATATAGCGTTGACAAAGCTATTGACGTCGAAGCCCGCCACGCCCATCTGATATTCAATTAGAAATTGCTTTTAAAACAATTCAAAATGCTTCGCTATACAGCTCGAAATACGGAAATGAAATACAATCCCTAGCACTAAAACTTGAGGATTTAATAAAGATGGAAAAGATGGATAATTTAAAGCAATATCAGATAACAGATTTTTTCCAAAAGTTGTAGTTTTTGTTGTTAATGATTTTTGTCAGAAAAATAGCTTGTTTTAATGAAAGTTGGGCAATTTTATTTATTTTCAACCCTTTTCTTGATATCTCGAACTCTCGATATCTCGAACTTTTTTTCCGGTCCCCTTAGTGTTCGAGATATCGAGAGTCGACTGTAGTTACGATTTCTTTATCACCGTCAGAAACGCACATATCATTCCTAATGTTATGTGCAATGTGTTCCTTAACGTAAATCAGAACTCCTCCACCGCGTTTATTTGTTTGTCTTTCTAATAAAATTGTTTCAAAACCTGGAAGATGGGAAATAGAATTATTTTTAAAATCCTTCGAAGAAATCCGCGTTTCTGTTAAGCAAATTATGTTAAAATTATTTTCAGTTTCATCTAAAAAATCGCAAAACTTTTCAAAATTTTTATTTAGACTTCTAATATTAATGTTAATCTGATTTTTTGATTTTCAGTGCCATTTTTATTAAGAAATTCTTTTAACTCGTTGGGATAAAAATAAGAACAACATGTGTTTACATCATTAAAAAAGTTGACATCTGGATCTGAATTAAAATTTGATTTTAAGTACTTATCATGAAAATTAAAAGTAATGGATTCGTAGTCATCCATTTTTGTTTTTAAATCTAATTATAGAATATTAAAAGAATTCCTTTATAATTAGGTCGCGCGTAATTAATTTATTGTAAACTACTTTAGCAAACTTACCTTTCGCTCTCAATTCTTTCGCTTCTTTGAAAAGCTTTCTGCGTAAATCCATTATAAAATCGCTAAAGTCTTCGTTAACGTACAACCGTTCGTTCCATAGCTTCATCGTTGTATATTTGTTTAACACTAGGGCTTTGTCTTTGTAGTTTTGAAATCGAACAATTATTGATCTGTTTTTTCTGTTTTCTTTTCCAACTCGATGGGCTCTATCTATTATAATTTTTTCTTGTATAAAAAGCTTTGCATTAAGGAATTTTTTGTTCACTTTCTCCCCAAGTTTCATTAGCTTTATCTTCAATCCCAACAAACCTCAAATTGTTTCTACGGCTTCTGTCTTCTAGTTTTGCAATTTTCTCATTTATGTTATTGTTTCCATTTTCAATATTACTTCGAACTGGTCATTTTTGACTATGTTTTGTTTAATTCTGTAAGTTCAATTATTATTTTATGATAGCTTTTACTTATAAATTCGACAGCTTTCTGTACCTCAGATAATTCTTTTTTTAACGTAAAGTTTTCATCTTTTAAGTTATTAAATTTAATTTCCATTTTTTCTATCCGATCATTAAAAATTTTCATCATAGTATTCTCGTGATTTTCAAGGATTTCTTTAGGTTGTGCTGGTGTAAAGTTTTTCGCCATTATTATAAGTTTTTTAATAAGCTCTTAAAACACGTCCGTTCGCGGTGAAAATTGCGGTAATGACTTATGGAGAAGATCATTATGTCAAACTTTGTCGTAAGCCTTAGATATGTCAAGAGCAATAGCCCTAGCCTCTCCACCTCCATCTAATTCACGATAGAATAATTCAGTCACAGCGATTAACAAGTCAGCCGTAGAACAAGACAATCGAAAACCGTATTGGTTGTTTGACGGTAAGATGTTTGATTTAAGATAGGATGTGAGAAATTTGTTAATCAAAGACTCAAAGACCTTGTAAATAACAGAAAGAAGACTGATTGGACAATAATTATAGGGGTCAGAATGTTCTCTAGAGTTTTGAAGATTGGAACAACAAGATGCCATTTTCCAGCAAGCAGGAAAACAAGACTCAGTCAAGCACTTGTTAAATAGTTTAGAGTGAATTGAAGAGAGTTTTGGAGGAAAATTTTGTAAGACTATGACAGGAATGTTGTCTGGACCACAAGCCGTAGAAGAGTTTAATTGAGATATAACTTTAGCAACGGAAGCTGGAATAATTTGAATTCCTAATAATGGGTTAACCTGTTTAATTGAAATGGAAGGAAGAAAATGGCCATAAGATTTAAGAGTCTAACTTAAAGAAAAGTTTTTTGCAAATAGTTCTGCCTTATCCTTAGGAGAGGTAATAAGATCAGTCCCAGAAATAAGAGATAGAATGTTAGATCTACCCTCATTAATGAAGCTGTTAAAGAAACATTAAAAATATGCGTAAATACCATTGATTTTTTCCTGATTAAATTATACATTTATATTCTAGTAGATCTCAGCAAGTTATATTATCAAAAAAAAAGAGATTTAATTCTTGAGTCATATTAGTAAAAAGTGCAAATATGTTTTCATAAGATTAGAATAGGTTTGTGTTATCAGCAAAAATTATAGTGATTAAGTTAGAGGCTTTACTAAGGTCTTTTATATATATTAAAAATAATAGGGGCTCAACTATGGATGTGTGTTACATTCATTAGTAACACGTAAAAGAGTCTTGAATATTAACAAAGTGCTTACAATTACTAAGATAGCATTAAAACCAGCTTAGGGATTTATTTTTAATGCCATAGAGTTCTAATTTTTTTAATAGACTGTGGCGATCGACTGTTTCAAAAGCTTTAGACAAATCGATGAATACTCCTTGCGTATAATGAGAAATTTAAATAGTATCAGAAATGATGCGTGTTAGTTGGAATATGACGTGTTCAGTAGAGTTGTTTCTTTAGAAGCCAAATTGATTATTGTATAAAAGTTTAGTATTAAAAAAATAAATATAGACTCTGTTATACATTATTCTTTTTAATATTTTGAAGAAAAGTGGAAGAATTGAAATAGGACGATAATTTGTAATGTTAGTAAGGTCACCTGATTTAAAAATAGGAGTTATTTGCTACTTTTAGAGAGTCTGGAAAGAAAGGCCGGATCCAGATCATGTTGTAAGAGAGGCGATTTAAATTTTTTTCGATTTGGAGATGCAGACGATCTAGTAAGAAGGGAGGGAGGGGGGCGATTTTCAGGGTTATTGATTTGTGAGTAACCAATCAAACAATTTTGAATTTGCACCACGTAACTTTTTTTTAAATTGTAATTTTATTTAGACAGCCTAACTATATTATTTCAATTTTTAAACAACTTGCTGAGTTTAATATACAAACTTACAGAAATAAAAAATTTAAAAGCTTTCTAAGGTGGGGGAGGAGGGGGTAATCGCCTTCATTGCCCCACCTATAGATCCGCCTATGCTGGAAAGGATCATTGAGCAATATATGCTTTACAAATTTTAAGAGTATATCTTTCAAAACGTCAAATGAGTCTATTACAACATTTCCATTGATGCAATTAGCCCCAATTGCCTTATTTTGTCTTAATGATTTAAACGCTACTTCAAATTTGCAGTATGTTAGGTTTAAAAAATTTAAAATTTAATAAGGTGATTTATGAATTCATCAATTGATTTTTCATTAAGATAAGGAATTTTATTTGATAAGCATGTTCCGATTGAAGAAAAAAGATTTGTTAAATTCAAAAGAAATTTTATTAGGGTCATTAAATAATTTATTTTTAATATTTATTGTATTTGGTACTAATATAATGCTTTTCTTACTTTTTCTCATGATCTCTTTCATTAATTATCAAATATGTTTGTGCTTTTAAACAAGTCGGAGTAGCGACTGATTTAGATATTTAATATACAGTATTGTTTCACTTTCGATAATTTTTAAGTCCTTTCGACATCCAAGGACATGATACGTCCTCGGCGTTAAGAATTATTCCACGATTATTCCAAAGGAAGTTTTTGTCATAGTTTAAATTAAAAAAAGTCATAGATCAGGTTTATATTATCATTGAAGTTAGTATTGCTCCAGTTTTGATTCGAAATTCGTTGTAAAATTTTATGTTTTGGTTTTTATTATACTCGAAACAGTCCAAATTGAAGTCCCCTATTACGTAATATTTTTTTCTTTCCTGATTAATTTTTTCTATTAAGTCAAGTTTTAAAAAATTGACTAAGTGTTCAGAATTAATTAGCTCAACCGCTGTTTAGAAGTCTTTTAAGTAATACGTGACATTTTTTAAAAATATCTTTTTAGACCCTTCTCCTCCCTGTGTGTGACATTTTAAGCATATTTAAAAAACCCTCACCAATTCTAGTATGTAAAGCAATAATTTCTTTAATTTCCATTTTATTTTTGAAATTTTCATTATACATCGAGTTTAAAACAGTGAGAGTACCGATAAAAATATGCATGTACAATTATTGGATCTTCAATAAATTTAAAAAAATTGAATTTTAAATTCGTTTCAAATAAAATAATATCATTAAGTTAGCAATTTAATTACGTTGTGATAAGAATTTAAGTTAAAATTTTCTTCTCTTCACACTGTTGCTAATACCCGAACCTTCCCATCTGTAAATTAGTGACAATTTCCAATACCGATTCCCCTAGACTGTCACGTATTATTTGAATGGCTCCATCATATATGTTCGAGTGAGTACATTAATCTTTGTCTGGCATTTTTAATTATTTCGAAAAAAATTATCTAGCAGAAAAACAAAGTTCTGTGTACGAAAGTACGAAAACAGTCTCAAACCCAAGATCACGCACGCACTCACTCGTTACGCTAATCAACGCAGTTTTTTAAAAATAGTTAACATAAAATGTAAATTACAGATTATTTTTGTGATCGAACAAGTATTATGTACAAATCTCTAAAAAAAATTATTTCTAATGATAAGGAAGAGTTTAACTCATCAGAACATATCGAACTTGATTCAATTAAAAAAAGCTTTTCTCAAGAAGATAATTATTTAACAGAAAATTCATTGAGACTCAAACAAAAATGATCGAGAATATATATATATATATAAAAATCAAAATTATAGCTAGTGTCAGCTTTCCTCAATTTTTCGAATTTTAATACCATTTTCATTTAGTTTTTTATCATCAGTCGTGTCATTTATAATAGAAATATCAACTTTGTTAACAATATCATTTGAAACCGTAGAATCTTGTTTTTTTCTGTTTATAAGTTTATTTTCTCTTGGTGTTCTTAAGTTCATTGTTAAATCTTGCAAACTCTCTAATTTATCTGCTACTGCATGTAAAGAAGATAATCTATAATAAACAAATATATATATATATATATATATATATATATATATATATATATATATATATATATATATATATATATATATATATATATATATATATATATATATATATATATATATATATATATATATATATATATACACACAGAGAGAGAGAGAGAAAGAAAGAGAGAAACAGAACTGATTTCAATTTAAAATGTGACAATATTATTTATAAATAAAAATAAACATATTTATTCAGCTACCTAGCTAAATTAATGTCTGATTTGCAATCTTCCATTTCAGCGTAGAGTTTAGAAATAATTAAACTGAATTTAGTTCTGCACCCGTCACCTTGAAGATAAGATAGAGTTTCGTCGCAACATGCTGAAGCCTATAAATATAGTTTTTATGGCAACGGTTTGTTATAACCATTAAATAAACTAAAGATTAACAAACCTTTTAAAATTTGTAAAAAGTTATAATAAAAAATTACAAAAAGTATATAGCATATATAATTTAAATATATATTTTTGTTCAAACAAACACACATTAAAACACCAAAGCTATTAGAGCTAAAAATATTTTAACTATTGTAAAAAAGTTAAAATTGTTAAATTGAATAACAAATTTTTTGAATAACAATTTAATGTAGTATTGTAAATAATATTAAAAAAAAAATTGTTAAAAAACAATAAGTTGATTTTTAAATGATCGAAACTTGTACTTTTTCTGATCTTTTGCCTTTAACCATTACGAATAGACTTTTTATCAACGCTCTCTTACCTAGTTCTCTCCCCTTATCTTAGTGCACTATTCTCCAGACTACTGAAATAGCATATTTTATTAATTTCTCTATAAAATTTTAAAACTCTAGTTTACTTCCAACAAGATTGCAAACAACCCCTATTAAGTTATGAGTTACTTTAAAATAGAGGATAGGTTAACATACTAGGAAATAGTTAACTGAAGACTTGAAAAGAGGTAGGTTGTATAAAAAAAGAAAACATGAAGATAGGTAAGAGTTATAACGTTTTTTTTTTTGATAGGCAAGAAAAAAAACTGGATTTATAAAAGTTTTTATAGCATGAAGGGACAGATACAGTAAAAGGATGCAGGTCTAACTACATTTACAATGTGCTTTTAGACTCAGTCTGAAAGTTATAGGTTTGTTATTCGTCAATATAGGAATGCAAACAATATTGCAACATATATAGGAATGCAAACAGTATTGGAGTAAATAAACAAGTTTTGTTGTCTGACAAAAATTTTGGATTTTAAGTCCAGAATTTAAATCCACAAGCCACTGCAAGCCTTAGGCAGTTACAGAAGAGAGATCGAAATCAAAACCCAGCTGCTTGTTCTAAGTAATTAAAAGGTGAAGATTTTTTGTCAAGACAAGAGTATAAAGTGGAGTCGTCAGCAAATAGAGCCACCTTAGATGTATAATTTTATTTGAAGATTGTTATTGTAGATAAAAAAACATTACAGGAGCAAAGATAGAACCTTATGGTACCCTTAAAGTTACTTGAAAAAAAAGAAGAGTTTAGGCCTTTAAAAATAACTTTAATCCTGCAGTTAGAAAGAAATAATTTAATAATCTCAAAACCTGACGATCAGTGACCCGTTTGACAGTGACCTGTTGGACAGAGACCGGTTGGAGGACGGTTGGTCAAAGTATTTTCTAGAGTTTTGAAAAATTGGGACAACTTATTTAACACTTAAAAAATTTAGCAAAAATTGAAGAGAATTCTAGAGAACACGTTTTTATGACTACTATGAAAATTTTGTTTGGAGCACTAACTGTAGAAAAGTTTAATTGAGAATTAACTTTAGCATTGGAAGCTGAAGTGATTCGAATGTTTAACAATGGGTTAATCTGTTTAACTAGCAGTAGAATTATATTCAAGAGTGAAATTAGAGCAAGAATTCTTTGCAAATGACTTTGCCTTATTCTGGGGAGAAGTAAAAAGATCAGACCAATGAATTAGAGATTTAAATATTCGACTTACTTTAGTTAATGACACTGTTGAAGATTAACCAAAACTCTCTAGAATCTAACATCTGAGATAAGATACAAGATTTAGCAAACTGAGAATAACTGAACTTAGTATCAGACAAGACCTTTTTATATTGGCTTCTTGGAATAATAAAAGGACATTTGTTCTTAAGAGAGATGATTCTGGGCGATTTCAACATAGATTTATTGAATTATAGAGAATCACAAGTCATTTCTAATTATTTTGAATCTTTGTGCTCTCATTCCTTATTTCCAACCATAATTCTTCCAACACGTGTAACTGCAAAAACTAAAACCCTTATTGATAACATCTTCATAAATTCATTACCTACTGATATAGTCTCTGGTAATCTTACAATTTCAATCTCTGACCACATGGCACAATTCGTCTGTATTCCTAATAACCCACCCATTAAAAAAAAAAGTAAAAATGTTCAAAAGAAGCTTTAAAAAATTTGATTCTGATTCTTTTATCCAAGAAATTTCCGATATTAATTGGGAGCTTCTCATAAAAGACGATGATAACATAAACGAATCTATAAATTTTTTTCGCATATCAGTCTAATTTTTTTTTTTGAAAAAATATTAGACCGATATGCTCCTTACAAAGAACTAACAAAAAAACAAATTAAACTTCAATCTAAACCCTGGATAACTTCTGGTATTCTTAAATCAATTTTTAATAAAAACATACTCTATAAAAAATTTACTAGATCAAAAAATGTGAATACAAAAAATATATTATTTACTAAATTTAAGTTATACAGAAACAAAATTAGCAATTTGTTAAGGTATTCTAAAAAATTGTACTATGCATCTTTTTTCAATAACAACATCAATAATGTAAAGAATACCTCGAAAGGAATTAAGGAAATCATAAACATCAAACCATCTACTCTATTAAGTCTTTTAACTTCAAAATCAATAAAAATGTCATCTCATCATCAGATCATACCAGTGTTGCTATTATATTTAATAATTATTTTACGACTATTCAAGACGAACTACTTAAAAATAAATGTGCTTTTGGCAACTTTCTTAAAATACCTAGTATTAATTCTTTTTTCATTGAGTCTGTGACTGAAAATGAGGTGGCGAATCTCATAAAAGATACTCTTAAAAATAATAAAAGCCTTGGTCCCAATAGTCTGCCAACATTTTTACTAAAGCTGGTATCTCACATAATCTCCAAACCTCTATGTACTATGATGAATAAATCTTTCAAAAATGGTATTTTTCCTGAAGCTTTTAAGGTAGCCAAAGTAATTCCTATACACAAAATGGGCTCCTATCTAGACTACTCCAATTATCGACCTATTTCACTTCTTTCTAACTTAAGTAAACTATTTGAAAAAGCAATGTTCCAAAGACTTGAGCATTTTTTGGAAAAACATAAATTTATTTACAAACACCAGTATGGTTTTCGCAACAAACACTCAACAACTCATTCATTAATAGAAACAACAGAGAAAATTAGACAAGCCATCGATAATAAACACTTTGCGTGTGGAGTGTTTATTGACATAAGAAAAGAATTTGATACAGATGAGCACACAATTCTCTTAGAAAAATTGAAACACTACGGTATAAGAGGTATTCCTTTTCTCTGATTTTCCTCTTATCTTTGTAATAGAACACAATTTGTTTCAATTAATGGTATCAACTCAGGACTAGCTAAATCTTTTAATGGTGTTCCGCAAGGCTCGGTTTTAGGTCCATTACTTTTTCTTGTTTTTACCAATGATTTAAATGTTTCTCTTAAATTTTCTACTGCTTATCACTTCGCGGATGACACCAACTTACTCCTAATTAATAAATCACTTAAAAAACTTAACAAAAATATGAATCACGATCTAGCTAATGTTGTTCAATGGCTCCGCTCCAATAAATTATCTCTTAACTCTAAAAAAACGGAAATTATTATATTTAAATCTGCTCAAACAAAAATAAATAAGCAATTAAATTTCAGATTAAGTGGCCAAAAAATAAATCCAGTTAACTCTACTAAATATCTTGGAATCAAAATAGACTCTAATTTATCTTTTGCATCGCATCTTCAAGACTTAGCATTGAAATTAAGCAGATCGAATGGTATTTTAGCTAAAATTCGTCATTTTGTTAACCATGAAACTTTGCTTAATTTATATCATGCTACTTTTCACTCTCATCTCAGATATGCTTGCCAAGTTTGGGGACGATCTAAGCAGCTTGAAAATTTAAGACTAACTTATCTCCAAAACAAAGCTCTAAAATTAATTTACTTTCAACATACTAATTCGAACTGTAGCATACTCTATATTTCATCTAAAGTCCTTAAATTGTGTGACCTTATTCAGCTATCAAATTGTCTATTTGTTTGGAACCAAAATCATAACTTACCTCTTACATTTATCAACTTTTTTAGTTATAGGGAAAACTGTAAATATATTCTACGATCTGCTCTCAACTTTAAATTATCTGTACCTAAATACCGAACTGTTCATTACGGCTACGTATCCATACAACATAAAAGCATACAAACCTGGAACAATCTCCCTTCCCAATTAAAATCTCTTAAATCATTCTCAAAATTTAAAACTGCTCTCTTTAACCATTTTTTAGAAAAATACTCTTTATAAATCTTATACCTTTTTACAACTTATTATTTATAACCCTAACGCAGTGCTTCTATTCATCTTTTATTTTTTCTCTTTTCTATCGTGATATATTACTAATTTTAATATCAATTATTAAATTTATTATTACAAACTGATATGTTTCTATAGTATTCTCTTATCACTGTTGTTGTTATTATTACTATATTTTTATCATAATGAATATTATTGTAATTGTTATTGTTGTTGTTATTATTGCTATTATTATTATTATTATTGTTATTATTATTATTATTATTATAGTATATTCTTTTTATAATCGCTACTATTATTTTTTTTATCACTATAATCACTACTATTACTTTTATTATTCCTACTTGTATTATAATAATTATTATTACTATCTCCATCTTATTTTTATTGATGTAATGACTTGATGTAACAACTTTATTCAGAATATATTTGATTTGATGTTCTTTTTAAAGAGACGAAAAAAATGATTACTGTTTAATAAAGCAACTGCTCAAGATGGTAAAAATGCAAAGTAGAATAAGGGTTGACTAAGTATTGAAGAGAAGGAATAGAAGCTTCTAAACTTTTATTCTAGAAGGAATAAAAGCTTGTGCTTAATGCATATATATTATGGATATAAACATATATGTCTGCTATTTATTTAGATACTGGCATACAATATCCTTACATATTTATATAAACTTTAGTATTTATATGGTGCAGTATTTGCCAAAATAGATGCAATCAGATGAATGGTGTTAGTCTAACAAGACAAGAACGATGTGTGGTGTGAGTCTAACAAGACAAGAAAAAGAAGCATAATCTTAGATTAGCAAAAAACATTGTATTGAACAACATTTATTAGAGAATATTAAAGTGATTTAGGTATCAGCAGATGGCAGCGGTAGAGCTGCCATCATCAGATATCAGAAAATGGCAGCGGTAGAAATAAGAAAACTTGAAAAGAGTGCTTTACATTTTGTATGAATAAGGTTTAGTTAAGTGAAAAAAAAAAAGTTCTAGTTTGTTTATATTAGAGAAACAGCATAAAAGAGGAAGGCTAAAGCCTGATGATGATGATGATGATGATGATAATGATGATGATGATAATGATGATGTTTATATATGCATATATATATATATATATACATATATATATATGCATATATATATATGCATATATATATATGCATATATATATATATATATATATATATATATATATATATATATATATATATATATATATATATAACACGAACTTTGAATTAAGAAATATATTTTAAGATCTATAATTGTTTATGCAACCTCAGTCACAAACCCGGCCCTGGCTTTATTTTATCAAGCCTGGCCCCTGCAACGGTCAGATATCAACCCTGGATAAACATTTAAAAAATGATAGGATGCTTCTGCAAAAAAATAAAAGCATAAAGAGAATATAAGAAGTCCACATCTTTTTTACTTATGTTGCTTACTGGGATTCTTCTACAGTTAAATTTATAAACATTTCTTTCAATAAAACATAAAAAATTTTTAAAAAATAGTTGAATTTAAAATAGATTAATAAGAAAACTCATATATTTTATCTCCAGCTCTAACAACAAGTGGTGCGCTGTTAAAGCTAAAAAGAAAGTAAACATCCCACATGTATCCTGTCTTACAATGTATGGCAAAATTATAAAGCCTTAAAGGTTTAGGCATCTAAGATGTATGATATCCAGTATCTGAAAAAAACAAAACCCACAATGATGTATGGTATGAGTAATAAGAAACAATATTAGACAGCAATTCAAAATAGTGAGTGTATCTAATATCTTAATCTTTCCTGATAGGGTGCTTCAGGAAAGATTATGGTGCTGTAAAGCATAAAGTGATTGATGATTGATGTCAAAAGTTTCAAGAGAAAAAAAGGTAGAGTTATAAGTATGGAAACTTGTAGATGTGCATTACAAATGACTTGGAGAAAGTGCACTACAAATGACAAAGCTTCAGTTAGAGAAAGAAAATGATTGATAGTAGTTATATTGAAGAAATTATGCGAAACAACTAACCCAATGCAAGCGTAGAAATAAGGATGCTAAAATAATGATGAAATGATAGATGAAAAAGATTTAGCTACATCTACATTGGCACAACGTTAGCAACAAAAAAAAATTCTGTAAAAATGGAAATTTATTTATATGTATACATAAGATATACTGATAAATAAAATGATAAATAAGTAAATGATGTAAGTAAATGTCTAATAGATAATTATTATTAAAGATTCTTTGCTTTAAATAAATCTTAGTTAAAAAATAAAAATCTTTAAAGTATCAACTATAGACTTTTTATCCACTTTAATTTAGGTTTAATTTAGAGGTTTTCGGTTGAATTTTTGCTTCAGGTTTTTATAAGCCTCTCTTTTCAGTAGAAGATAGATCCAGTGAAAGAAACAGCTGCAAATTAAAGCACCATTTTTTATTTTTTGGTAACTTTTTTAAAATAGTAAAATATCCAAAAATCGGATTCTAAAACTTATATAGTCATATCTTTTGAGCACAAAAATATATTTTGATTAAATTTGAAATTTAAATATAAATTATGATCTTATATTGAGATAAAGACATTAATTAAAGAAATTAAATTTAAAAAAAAAAATCAATTTTCTTTAACTAGAAAAATACTAGGGGCATTTTTTAAGTGTTTCTTTTTTCATGTTTTTGCAAATAATTTTAAACAAACTGTCTGATAATTTGTGTAATTTGACTATTATTTAGATTATTGATTTATTATTTTACTATAACCTAATGAAGAAATTAGTTAAATTCAAGTTAGTTAAATTCAAATTAGTTAAAATCAGTTAAATTCTCATTTAACTGAAATTTGTGGAATTTGTGAGACAAACCTTTATTTTAAATCAAAAGGTAAGGCTATTCGTAAAGCTGTAGAGATTTCTTAGTTAAACGATCATAATCAAGTTAAAATATGAAATCGAGAAAATGACAACTGCTATTGTGTTATTAACTGTCAAGGGCAGTAGAATAGAGAACTAGAAGTAGTTGCAAACTTAATCTTTCAATTGACTTACAAAGGAACTGAAAAAATTCCATTAAAAAAAAAAAGTTAATTTGGCTCGAAATGCTGATAAATATTTGGTCATGGCATTCATCAACCTTGTTCAAGAAAAAGCTTTATGCCTTAATTACTTTCGAGAATTTAAACATTGCCGAGTTGTGTTTTAAGTCAAAAAATAAAAATAAAAAAAAGTGTTAAAAAGAAAAATCAAAATTTTTAATTTGTTTTAAATGGTTTCTATCTTATGTCAAACTATTGGATTGATTTAAAAAAACCAGAAGTAAAAAAATTTAAACGAAAATCTCTAAAAAGAGCAGCATGCATTTAAATAGTAAAGCTACCTTTTAATAGCTAAGCTTCAGATATAAATCTAGAAATAGTTGGAATTTACTTATAATGTCAAAAATTTAACAACCTCAATTGTATTATATCTCATTGAGGAAGTGACTGAGGTTGAAATTTAACCGGGTTGGGTATGATAAAATAAAGCTAGAGCCAGGGCTGGGTTTGTGACCGGGCTCCATAAACATTTATTCATCATAAAGTATTTTGTATATGTATGTACATATAAACATCATTATGATCAACATAATCATCATAATCATCATCATGATCATCATCAGGCTTTAACCCTCCTAATTTATGCTGTTTCTCTAATATAAATGATCTAGAGCATGTTCTTTTTATTACTAAACCTTGTTCATACAATATGTAAGGCATTCTCTTCAAGTTTTCCTACTTCTATCTTTACTATTTAATCCTGAAGATGCTATCTATCTACATGCTGATACCTAAATCACTTTAATCTTCTCTAACAAACATTGTTTGATACAATGTTTTATTCTAATCTATCCTTATAACTCTTTCCCATCTTTGTGTTTTCCTTTTATATACAACCTACAACTTTTCAAATCTTCAGCTAACCATTTTCTAACTTTTGAACCCTATCCTCTATTTTAAAGTAACTCACAACTTAACAGTGATTGCTTGCAACCTTGTTGGAAGTAAATAAGAGTTTAAAACTATAAATATATGCTAGTATTTAATAAATAGTAAATGTAAGTATAGAATTATAATATACAAAGTATTATAAATTTTTTCTAGCCCTGACGATCAACCCATGCTAATTTTTAAAATCTTGTCAGAGCCAGGTTTGCAAAAAGTCTCATTTTTAGCCAGGGCCCCGGTTATTTTCTATATCTCATCAATATCTTAACGATTGGTTAGGATTTGTTTATGTGCATAAAAACACATGTTCTGAATCAAATTTTAGACAAAATTTTAACCATTAAAGAGCTAATGATCAGAAATCAGGAAAAAAAGAAACATAATCAGCAGTCTGCTGTAATTTAATTATGTAAAAAACAAATACATGTTGAAAAACTGTTGATTTAACTGCCAATAATTTATCATCATTTACAGATAATTAAACTATTGATTATTATTTAAGATATTTGTTGCCACAAAAGCAAAAAAATAAATAGTTAAAAAAATAAATTAATACTTTTTTGTCTTATCAAATAACAAAAAAGTATTAATTTATTTTTTTAACTATTTATTTTATAATTAATTACATAAATAAAAATTATTTTAAAATTGCAGGTTCTATAAATATTTGTTACCTGTTTTTCCAGCATATTACCATAATAACCACTATTACTTTCGGTAATTGTTTCTATATTTTTATTTGTTGACAAGTATTGTGAATATTTATCTAAAGAAGGTAGTTCAGAAAAAGTTATAATTTCTGCTTTAGCTGAGTTTGTTTGAGTTTGTCTTTTTACAGAAACATCACTACTATTCTGGTTTAAATGTCTTTTTGGAGTAACATCGTTTATATTCTGATTTGTATGTCTTTTTGGAGTAACATCATTTATATTTTGATTTGAATGTCTTTTTGGAGTAACATCGTTATTATTTGGGTTTAGATGTCTTGTTGAAGGAACATCACTATTATTAGGGTTTGAATGTCTCTTTGGTGTTATATCACTATTGTTTGGGTTCAAATTACTTTGATATTTAGAAGACTTAAGTGAATTATGATCTACTGAATGTCTTAGAGGGTTTAGGTTACTCATTGAGCTTAGATTTTCATTATTTGAATAATCAAGATTTTTTGAATAATCGAGATTTTTTGAGCGATTGTCGAGTTCAGGTGTATTAGATAGAAAATTATTTGATCTAAGAAATCGATCTTGTTTATTAACTCTATCGTTATCGATAGCTCGTGATTCAGATTTTGAAATACTTTCCTTCATATTTTCTTTTGGTGGTGGTGGAGGTGGTGGAGTAGAACAGCTAGAAAAATTTGGTGAATAAGAGCATTTAGAAGATTTCCGAGCAGAAGAGATTTGAGGCGATAAACCTAAATAAATTATTGTTTATTGTACATATGGTAACTACAGAAAAGTCATACAAATGAATATAAAAACACTAAATTACCAGAATTTGTCAAATGTTTAACAGTTGGCAACTTGGGAGATTTGTATAAATCTTTGGGCTACACAAAAAAAGTTTACACGTTACAATGTGTTTGTTTGTGTATATATATATATATATATATATATAATTTTATATATATAATATATATATACATATATATATAATTTTATATATAATATATATATATACATATATATATATATATATATATATATATATATATATATATATATATACACAATATATATATATATATGTATATATGTATATATATATATATATATATGTATATATATATATATACATATATACATATATATATATATATATATATATATATATATATATATATATATATATATATATATATATATATATGTATATATATATATATATACATATATATATATATATATATATATATATATATACATATATATATATATATATATATATATATATATGTATGTATGTATGTATGTATGTATGTATGTATGTATGTATGTATATATATATATATATATCGATGGTTAAGAGCACAAAGGGAACACATCCACTAACCATTGTTTTGAGAAATCTGAATTTGAAAGTTTGAAAACATACAATAATTCATGATATTTATTGTCATGATTTTTAACCAAATGCATTCCTCAATTAATTCTGTCTTGTTTTTTACTATTTTTTTTTTCATTTCTTTTACATACTTAATACCTAATTTGTTTAATGTTTACCTAATATTTAATGTTGGACATTTTCCCTTTGTGCTCTTAACCATCGATATATATATATATATATATATATATATATATATATATATATATATATATATATATATATATATATATATATATATATATATATATATATATATAAACAAGTTTTTGCTGTAACTTTTTAATATAGAAATAATTTGAAGTTTAGTTTCTCAAATTATAAATCTATATTGACATATAACCTTTATTTAATTTTATTTACCATAGTTATTTAAATGTTTATTTTTAGATAAACATAAAGTATGATTAATTTAAAAGATAGCACCAAAATAGCAAATTAACTTTTAAAATAAGAAAAAAAAGTTATATTATTTCCAAAAAAAATTTGCAACTGCTGCATAATATTTAAACTAGTAGTTTCATGGACAAGTAGTGTAATGAAGTGAGGTGAAATTGCTCTTATAAGCATAGGTGAAATTGCCCTTTTGCACATAACATGCATATAGCATAACATTTCTTAAGAAGGCCTACATAATCTAGTATTGTAAAATTATAATTAAATTTACATCAAAATTAAAACATAAAAATATATTATGAAGAATGTTCTTGTCTGACTATTATGCATGCTGCAATTTATTCTATTAGACCTAATTTATTTTAAATAGTGATACTTAGTTGGTTTAAGTACTCTTTCTTCAAAATAAGTTGTTTTCATATTAAAGAAAATGTTTAAAAAAATGTTTAAGCTAAATTTTTTTGATTAAAACTAAATAATAATGCCTATCAATAAAACAAAAACAGTTATTTCAGTCAAAGCTTGCCATTTTTCTTGGTTTTTGGAGTCTTTATAATATATGCTGCAATCTGCAGACTGCATAACTTATTTCATGCGCATTTAATTCAAAAGGTTCAGAATATGATGTCATTGTGAATTCTTTTTTTCCAGTCATTGAAAGATTATTTGTCAGACAATCAGAAAATCATTTGTATAATTTTTCACTAAATTTTAAAAAGATAAGCCGAATACAATTAAAAATAAAACAATACATTTGGTTCATCAATTTTCAGAATTATTTTAAAATAACATATTTTTTTTAAAAGATATTTTATAAAAGATAAAGAAAAAGATTTTACAATAATTTTAAAATTTATATATTTGTAGTTATATATTTAATGTTTTTTTTTAACGTTATTTGTTGTTTGTATGAATTATAATTAAATACACTAATTTTCTTATAAGATGTGACGTTGTGCAGTGGATGTGATATTACTCTAATTTTAAAGCGTGCTGTGTAGGTTGTGGGTTGAAATCTTCCATTTCAAACTGTTTTATCTAATTTTGAATGTCTTATTCAAAAAAGTTTTGTTTTACTGTTGTTTATGGTTATATTACTTTATATTGTTGTTAACTATAGTTTAGTTAGGTATAAATAGGGAAAATAATAATAGGTGTAATAATAATTAAAAAGTAAAACTAAATTTTGTCATTTTAAAATCTTTAAGTAGATAAAAAAAATTAAACAAATTTTATAAAATAAATTTGATATAATATTTTTTTAAACAAACAAGTAAAATATATTTCGTTAAGATGAAAACAAAATATATTTTAAGATTTCATTCACTAACTTAAACTAACAATTGATTAAAACAAATAGTGCTAATGAAATCTAAAAAACAAAAATATTATTTTATTTTTAACTGTATCACAATATTTTTCAGAAATTTAATGAAAAATTATATAAATATGATTTGCTGATTGTGGCAACAACAAAAAAAATTTTTAATATCTTAAAAAAAAAAAAATCCACTATGACACCATATACTGAAACTGTTATGAATCAAACAGGCATGAAATAAATTATGAAGCCTGCAGATTGCAGCATATATTATAGAAACTCTGAGAACCAATAAAAAATGGCTTCAACAAAAATGACAATTTTTGTTTTATTGCTATGTATTTATTATTTAGTTCATTAATCCAAAAAATTTAGCCCACACATTTTTTTTAAAACATTTTCTTTAATATGATAACAAATTTTCTTGGCACTTGGGGATCCCTTCAAGTGTCAGAATGTATTGCATATCATTTAAACTTTTTGTTATAACAAACAATATAAAAGAAACACACAACATAAAGATAATAACACACAACATAAAGATAATAACACACAACATAAAGATAATAACACACAACATAAAGCTTTAAAAGATTAACCATCAATAATATTAGTTAAAAGTTTTGATAAAAAAATAATTGATAATAAATAAAAAAATAACAGTACAGTTGACATCGAAGTAACTTGCTGCTTCAACAACAGCGCCTGTTGTAAAGGATGTAAAAATGAGGATGCATCTGAAGAATTCACTGCAATTATATTTGGCGATAACAGAGGTGACTGTAATGATCTTGTTAATGTATGGTTAGAAAAAGAATTATTTAAAAGTGGAGAACAACCAAGAGGAGTGCAATGAGTCACAGGTGAAAGGATACTTGAAATATCATCATTTGTTGGTGTATCAGGAGAAGAGATATCTTGCAAGCAGCCATTAATGTAGGTGCTATCAGGAGTTCTGTAATTGCTACTAAAAAATAAAAAACTTTATAAATATACGTTAAAATCTTATTTAAACAAAAAACATACAACAAATTATGTTGAATTTATTATGGCTTGGATGGGCGCTTGAATCCTTGAATTTTAAAATTTAATTTGTAAGAGAGTGAGGGAGGAGGAGAAGAACAACTTAGTGAATGTTTAATGGGGCGCCAGTCCAGCATTCAAAGTGGCGTAAGAAAAGTAGTTCACTCTCAAACACCTATACAAAATCCGACGCTATCAACCTGTAAAATATATTCATTTTTTTGCTTGCATATGGATATAGATTTTTTTTCCAACCTATGCAATAATTGACTCGATTATTTCAAAGTCCTGGTAACATTTTTTTTGCCTTATTAAATATGATTTGATCTAAATAACTGCATGCAAGGCTTGGTTTGATACTTTCTTAGTCTGATTTTTATGCAAATGAACTGTGAGAAGACTCAACAAAATAGTTAGAAACAGAACACATAGACAGCCATGGCAGTAAGCATCTATATTGCAGAGGTCTGATTCTCCGGAAACTTCTAAATGGCTCACAAAGTAGTTTAAAATTCAGCGGTGTCTTTAGAAACTCATTTTTCTTAAAAGTTTTTAGACTTGTTCTAATGATGCAATGTCAATTAATTTATGATTAATAACGATTTCTGTAATGATTTTCAATTTCTTGACTTTTTGCATCCATAAGATGAAACTGTAGATTTGAAATAGGCTTTTTACTTGGGAAATAACATTTATTACAGGCAGATTTTTCTCACAAAATGTCATTTTGAATGTAAGAATTTTTAAATATTTTAGCAACATTTTAATTACATTACAAATAAAAGTTTTTAACATTTTAAGATTTTAATGTAAGCATTTCTTTCATTTATTTTATACTTGATTGTTCTTCTATAAAATAAAAAAAATGGAAATCTTTCTTTTCCCTCAAATTAACTTTCATGAAACAAAAACTTAATTAAATTGATTTATTATTAAATAAACCAATATTAAACCAGATTTTAAAAAACATAACAGAAAAAAAAAAAAGACCAAAGACTTTAAAATAAACCAGATTTAAACCAAATTTTCTAAAATAAACCAAAACAAAAGTTCCAAACCAAACGATAAAAAAACAAACCAGATTTGAGAAATCTGGCTTTAAAAAACACCAGATGGCAACCCTGGTGTAGTGATAGAGCGCTTGCTTCATTAGCAAGTGGTTCAGAGTTTGATCCCCAACACATCCCTGGTAGTACTGTGGTCAACTTGTTTCTCTGCCCAGCGGCCTTGATCGTCAAGGTTTGAGTTTCAGAGTTATAGAGTTAAGAGAGGGTTATAGCCACAATTAGTAGCCTTCTTATCTAATGGCCTTCGCAGCCTTAGAGAGGTGAATTAACATAAAAAAAAATTCTTAATTATATAATACAAAAAATCAGGAAAAAGCCAACATTTCATTTAAAACCTTATTTAAATAATTAAAATAAAAACACCATAATGAATGTTTTAATTATATTCTAAACATGAGCTTTTTATTATAATTTTAAATAAAACGAATAAAATAAAAATGGAATAAAAAACATTTCATTTAAATTTTGAATATATATTTTTACAAAAGACAACAAAAAGAAAATTTTATTTAAATTTAAAATAAAGTAACTAAAATAAAAACGAAGAAATGATCATTTTAACTTAATTCTAAAATAAATAATACAAAAAAATTAACAAAAAAACAAACTTTTTTTTTAAAATTCCTAATAAAATAACTATTTAATTATAAAATGATTTATAATAAAATAATAAATAAAACAGAAAAACTAATGTTCTATTTAAATTCTAAATAAAAACCTTTTTTTTAATTCTAAACAAAACAATTAAATTAAAAACCAACATTTCATTAATTAAATTAAAAAAAAAATTAATAAAATTGACACAATATATTATTTAAATTCTAAAAATGAACATTCTATTTTTAAAACAAATTAATAAAAAATGAAAAACAAACATTTTATTAATTCTAATAAAATAATTAAAATAAAATAGCAAAATATTCATTTGTTTTTCAAATTTTTAAGCAAATGTAAACGTTTGAAAGAAATACAGGCAAACTAAGTGTGTTTATTTTTCCGGTCAATTTTATGCTAAACATTCATGTTTGTCAAACCCTGATTAACAATTTTGTGCTGACCTGATTTTTGTTGACCTTTTTTTTCAATTCTGAGGGTTGTTTGTTATATTTGTACAATACTTTGATTTGAAAAATTGTTGAAATCAAATGTATGCAGAATTTTATGATTATATTTTAATAACTATGAATGCATGTTCAGATAAGCACTCTGACATTACACTGAAATAGCCTGTTGCCGGGAAGCTTCAGTACATTGACTTTCTTATGGCCTACTCCAATAATTTCTTTTACTATATTTACCTTCTTAAAAGTGCAGAAGCTACCACTAAAGTCTTGAATGGTTGCAACTTGCAGTAAAGTCTAGAGTAAAAAATCCCTTTTCATAAAGAATTACGGTTACAACCCTCTCTTAACACTAAAACACAAGCCTTGATAAACACAAACAGATGCCACTACACAAAGTAATAATTTACCAGAGACTGGGATGGAGATTTTGTTTACAAAGAAAGTATTATGTCACTAGCATATTAACAATATTATTTAAATCACTCCCAACATGGCTGCAACCAAACCCTAAATAACGAGTTATAGGAGATTGAGTTTTTATAAACAAATAAGTGATAGCTTAAGCAGCGACCATGGTAGTATTTGTCGCTGGCTTAAGCAGCGACCATGGTAGTATTTGTAGAAGAGAAAGAAAACTTATGCTTAGGCAGAGGTTCGAGCTTGGCTTACAACATTTACAATTCAATTTCAAACCTTGTCTAAATAAGAAAGTGCCTAATTAGAAAAACAAACGCAAATAAGCCAACAGTATTCCATACAAATACAAATAAATGGTAGGAAATGAAATCAAGAGTAAGTAAAACCATATTAAAGAGGTGTTTAGATTCTAAAAAGTTTTTTTTCCCCCAGTTTTTTTATTTCTAAAAATAGATCCAACAACTTAAGAGTAAAAGCAAAATTAGATATACTTTTCTTTTCTTTAAGAAGATCTGTCAAAAAAAAATGATAATGCAAAAAATTCATAACAAGGATTTCAAATGTCTTTTTATCAATAAGGATTTATATTGGTTCTAATAATTCTACAAGGATATAAATTAAAAAAATAAAAAAGCACTACTTCAAAGCCACCTTACTGTACATTAAAACATTGGCTTTAACTAGAACTGTTTTAATGAATTGTTTTGATTGTTTTTTCTTTTATATACTCTACAAATTATGTCTTAGAGTTTAACTAAATCTAGTTCATCTTGGTTCATAATTAAATCTTACATAGTTATCAAAATTCATTAAAAATTAAAAAAGGTAACTATTAACAATTGATTTTTTGCTGAATGATGAAACATTTATTTGATGTTTTTTAATTTATTTGTTAATTTTTAATTTATCTATTTAACATTTATTTATTGATTTTTAATCTAATAAAGTAAAAACACTCTCAAAAAAAAAAAACTGCTTGTAAGCCGCTGCATGCACCTTACAAGCAGCTACCTGACAAGCACTGCTTCATAATGTATGAACTTGACATTTTTATTGTTAAAAAAATTGCTGAATTTTTAATCAATGCTTCTATTTAAAAAATGATAAAACAAAAATTTTTTTAAAAAGATAGGTACCAATTTGAAGAGGTTTTAGAACTTGGAGTTGCATGCCCAACTGATTTAAATCCAGATATTGAACCATTTAATTCTCTATCGGGTCTCAGATCTAAAAAAAGCAAACTATTTATATAAAAAAAAGCTTTTAAATATAAATAAATCAATCAAACAATCAAAACATAAGAAAATTCTAAAAACAATCTTACTGGTACTCCTGGAATAATCATTTCCACTTCTGTTCCGATAATCTCTATTCATTCTGTTGCTGTAAGTTTTAGTTTCACGTGACTTTCTATTGTCACGTGAACCTTTATACCTACTGTTATGTGTGTCTTTTACTTCATCATCTCTAGAATCTCTACTACCTCTGCTATCTTGACTTGATGACCCAGATCGCTCTCTACACACAAAATAAGACAGTTAATAAAATATAAAATTAGTCAATTTTTAAAAAATAGACAAGTTATATTTCTTATATATATAGAAAAAAACAATACCTTTGTAATAATTCTTTTGGAGGTTCCCATTGAGACTGTTCTGTTATTCGATTGTAGTAGTATGTTTTTCCAGACGAACTAATGTGTTTAGACCAATCACAACTAATCTAATAGTTGCAAGTAAAAAAAAAAAAAGTTAAAAATTAAAATAGAAAAATATGGCATGACCACATGACTTTTTAGGCAATAGTTTACAGTAAATTAAAATAATTATAAATAATTTTAAAATCTCACCTGAAAATTTTGTCGAATATCTGAATCTCTGTCTAAAAAACATTTTTTAAGATGACATATTGAAATTAAACTTTTTAATAAAATTATTAACTCTAAAAATTAATCTTAACCAATTTAATTTAAACTTTTAAATTAACTTTAATAACATTTAAAAATTAAAATGGATTAAATATTATAGTATAAATTATAAAGAAATATAGTAATATTAGAATAGCATTGTTAAACATCAATAGCAGAAATAGATAGGTATAGAAATATCCCATGCCAGATGAGCCTAGGTCCAATACGAATCACCTAAGACTTAAAGAAAGTTAGTTAGGTTGCTTAATATCAATAAAAAAAACAAATCCTGAAAATTTCAGTTCAAAATCTTTTGTTTCACGAGATAAGGTTATTTGAAATTTCTGATTTTACTCATAAATAAAACCTTGATTGGTCTCTTTTTTTATAAACTTTTCCCACACTTAAAAATAGTACAATACAAACAGTTGCTTGTTGCTGTAAAAGCAAGTCTTTTAAAAAACAAGAAAACATTTTTGAAATTTAATAAACTCCATAATTTCACACTTTTGAAATAAAGCCACATCACTAATGCTCACTGATATAAAATTTGATACATGCTTTTGCTTTTTTACAGAAAACTATCTTTTTACAGATAACTATAAAGACTTTGTTTTAATCCTCACACTCCTTGAGTTGAAATATGAAAGTTTATAATTTGCTGCTCCAAGAAAGTCATAAAAGTAGAAAATCGAAATTCATTAAAGCGATAAAATCATATTTTTCATGTTCATATAATAATGATCTAATGCCCATTGGACGTCTTAAGGATGTGCATACCACGGATGAGGCATGCCCACTGGGAAGGGACTAAATGATATAGAAAATCAACAATGAAATCATGGCTATTTCCAGTATTATAACCAACTGCAGCATTATGTATTTATATCAGAAATAATACAGAGCATACAAATTTCTTTGTTAATATGATTATACATATTATTTGGACTTATGTTGATATTATTTTTGACAAGAAAATCTACAAGATGTAAATGTTTTGTTTAAACTTTGAAAGCTTAATTTTTCTTTTATTCTTTTTTCCGAGTTTGTCATTAAATTTTTAATTCCTATTTTTTTTAATTACACCAGCTGACAAACGTTCAAGGTAGTTAAAATCTGATAAGAATAAATCCTAATAGCATTGTTTCATTGCACTTTCTTTTTCAAGTTTCTTTGCATTTTGTATTGCTTGTCCGCATTTGACCCCAGAAAGCTTTGCGAATAGTTTATTAAATCTATTTTTTGGCCACAACAGTACCCTATTTAGTATTTTTTTGGCCATTTTTAAAAGTAATGTTTTTGTCTCAGGGGTCATAAAGTACATCAGGTTAAGCTTTTTATTAGGGGTCATAAAGTACATCATCTTTTGAATAGAAGTATAATCTTTGCTCTCTTGTGCAGAGATTTTATTCAACATAAAGCACTGTTGAATTTAAATTACTTTAATCTCTGCGTAGAAGCCAATACTATAAAGTTTGATGTAGTTAGATTTACTGAATGGACAAAATACATCACAGTAAATTTTTTTATATTTTATTTAAACCAATATCAAGATTTCTATAAATACGCAGGTTGTTTTTAGGAATTTCATTGAAAAGAAATCTGTTTGAAAAAAAGAATTTTAGTCTTTTAAAATTCTCTTATTCAAATAATTTTACAATTAAAGTTTGAAATTGAAAAAAATTTGAAAAAATTTAAAAGAATTTTAATGCTTAATAATTACTATTTTAACTCAGCTGCGTCCATAATACCCAGCATAGTGAGAATCGTTACTGAAAGTTAAATGTATATTTAGCAACAGTAACAGTGTCAGTTTTAGAACATAATGCAAATGAGGAAGAATGTTTTATTTAAATCATAAACATTTTGAATAGTTAATTATATTTTGTTTCTTGGAAATTGTTTTTAAAGTAGTAGCATTCTATTGCAAACATTTAACCAGCAACTGCAAAAGTAAAAATAAAAATTAAATCATAAAAAATTTAAATTAAAATTAATAAATTATTTTACTTCTGTTCGATAAAATTAAAAAAAATAAATAATTTAAACATTCTTAAACTTAAGTATGATATTCTGTAAGAATCAGAGCTCAATAGTGACCCACTTTAAAACCGCCAATTTTTTAATATGTTATTGCTATTCATACTAAAAGCTTAATTCCAAACTTTTTTAAAAAAAATTAATTGGTTCTGTAGATATTAGATAACTAAACTTTTAGATATATTGACCAAATGGTGTTGAAGGCATTTTTAAACTTGAAAAAAAAGGAAAGTAAATACTTTACAATGAGTATTCCACTTGATTATTGTTTATTGGCTAGTTCAGACTAAAAATTAATAAAATTGGTAAAGGAAATTTTTTTCTTTGTCTAAATATCATGCTTCGAAGTACGTGAAAAATGATTTTTTTGTCATTTTTGATCTTTGTTTCTATTCGAAGTCGCAATTATCCCACAGTTTTTTTTGTTATTATAAATCTTTATCTATTTAAGTAACTAAGATAATAAAAACAACTATGAGGAAGCAAAGCCTTTGTCGCAAAATCGATTGTCACTGTCATACTTTATTTTCGAAATACCATAAGAAACGCCTTGCAACAGCCCACCTAAAAGGATGAAATCTAAAAAAATGTCCTCATTTTGGAATTGAAAGTCTCCTTCTTGTAAATAAATTCTTTTGGGGTAATGCAAAACCTTTTTGTGAGGCTTTCCATTTTCTGACAAGTCCTATTTTATATTTTGTGCACTTAAATGTGTTGCATAAATATTGCTTTGAGTAATTTTTATGACCAATAAATGTCAAAATTACAAGTTGACTTGTTGTACCACTGTTTTCATACATTTCTACAAGTTTTTCAAATTCATCTGGAATTTCTGTATTGGCATTTTCATCACCTTTAAGCACTTTTAAAAACTCTTCCAATTGACCAGGCGCAATAGATTCTGCAAATTTTTTTCTGAAAGTTTCTTCCATACTTTTATATTCCTTTCACATTTGTTGCTTTGCAGATTCTTTGATAAGCTCAAGTTTTCTTGGAACTGGAATTTAATTGGACTAATCCCAAGACAAGCTGTGATACTTTCTCTGATTTGATTTGAAGTATTATGCTCTGATTGATTTTGTAAAACTCATCTGGTATAAAATCAATATCAGTAGCTGTTAATGTAGACTCGTGTTCAGTTATTATTTTTGTTTCTTTTTTCCTTGTCTCAAAATAGTATTCTTTTTTATGACAATTGCCTATTGAACCGATTGAAATGTATAAATTATAATGGGAAGATATTTGAGGTGTAATAGATGCGGGTCGCCCTAATAATGCTTTCTTCCCTGTTTTTACTTTGTGATTAGGGTGCATACATTTTTTTCCTTGTTTCCATCCTATTCCTTATGTATAGCGATGATATGCACATATTTTCTCTGCATTGTTAAAATTTTTATTTAAACGATTTTCAATTAGAGATTTTTTATTCCAATCACCAGCTAGGTCATAGCTCTTTAAGACCTTATAGCTCTCTAAGATCTTAGGTGCATAACTAGATAAAAATTTTTGGAATTGAACTTCTAGTATGAATGAAACAACATATCAAAAAATTAGTAATTTTTAAATAGGCTACTCTAAAAATTAAAGGTATTGGGCTGATTCTTACAGAAAGTCGCTCTTAAGGAAATAATTTGATTTATTAAACCAAATTTTTTTGGTTCACTTTTTTTGGTTTAAAATTTATTACAAAACATTTGAATGAAAAAATTGAATGAAAACATCAACTTAAAAACCATTTGAATAAAAAACTTGCAAAAAAAATATTTTTTTTTCATAATTAGACTTTTCGATATAAATTCAAGCCCTGGGTGAATATATATTGATGTTTTCTATTTAGCTATTCTTTAGAAACTTCTCACATAATGTAATTTTAACACAGATAGCAAACTTCAAATTTAAATGAAAAACAAAAAAACTAAATTCAGCACATCCAGGGGTGTACTCTCATGATGGTTCGGTGGCACAGGACAACTCGTTTTCTCCAAGAGCGACTGAAATTAAAAAAAAAAAAAAATGCCTGGCAGGACGACCAGACATTTTGTTACTTACAATAGTGTATTTATTAGTAAAACCATATTTTGATCAATGAAGATTTTATTCCTTGCAATTATTTAAAAGAAAACTTTAAAAAGCATATAAAGTAGTATATACTTTGTTAAATGTTTTGTTAATACTACGATGCGTTATACAACTTTACTTAACTTAATAAGAAGCTGCCACGCGATTTAATATTTTGAAGTGCGACTGTACTGTTTTTTTAAATGTTGTTGTTGCATTTTGAAGCATGTTTCTTCTCAATTTCAAATGTGTTTAAAATGAGTTTAAAATTACATTTTCTTTTAATTCCAAATGGTAATATATCATTTTTTAAACCTTATACACGCATTTTGAATCATGTGAATGTGCAGTTAAATCATTAATAACATTGAATCTCTTTTGTTTTTCATTAGTAAAATAAATTTTTATTTTAACTTTGTAAAATTAAGAAAATAAAAAAACATTAAGATGCACATGAAAAATCATTATTAAAATGTAATTAATGGATGCACTTAGAAATTCTTTTTTTTTTCTGAAAAAAAAAGAAGTATAATTAAAAATGTTTAAAACATAAAAAACATGTTTTAAACATTTAACTAAATTAAATTTGATTGAAGATGGAGATAGAATAATAAAAAAAATATATTTTTTTAACTATTTCTTGTGGTTTTGGCTTTCAACTTTTTTTTTCAACATTTAAATTTTTTTTTCTTCAGTATTTTCACCTGAGAAAAAATACCCAAAAATTAATTATACAGGACTATTAATTATCACAGCGGACGACTCAAATGAGAAATAAAAACTATTTCAGTCAACCACAGAGTGACCAGGAAAAAAACCCTGACACAATAAAAAATACAAATGGCTCTGAGCGATAGAAAAAATGCAGTATAAC